CCCCTGTTTGTCAGGAGCTGAGGCCTTTGGGTCTGGGCCTCCCTGCTCAGGGCCCCCTGTGGGAGAGTCCACACACCTGCTGCAGCCTCATTTCTCAGCCTGGTTCCGCCTCTTTGATAGGGTTGAGATGTTGGGTTAACTGAAGGAGCATTGTGGAAGGTGGAATTGCACCCGGTCAGGCCATTTCGTCCTCCTCAGAGCAGGGTGGGCCCGAGACCAAGAAGGCACCAGGATGGCTTGGCCTCCCACATGCTTCATACACCTCTCTCTGCTTTGAGCCCCCTGTTCCCCCACTCCAGAACATCCCCAAGTCCAAATCCTTCTCTGCTTCCACCCGTGTCCTGCACACATATGAGTTGAGTAATGAGGACTCATTCCTACCAGGGCATAAGCCTGGCACCACTGTCCTTTCAGGTCCCCCCGGGTCCACTGTTTTCATTGCCTCAGGTGTCTGCTGGTAGAGACCTGAGGAGGTTCCTGCTCAGTCCACACTGGGCTGCGGGGTCGGGCTCCTGTGCATGGTGCAGGGCTGGTCTCTGTGGGCATCACACTCTGATGACCGGGTCTGGACCCTCGTTCTGGTTGGGCTTATGATTTTTAGATAATTAACTAGTGTCTTTCATTCTTTAAGAGATGCGGCAAGTGTGGGAAATGTCAGTGGATGCAGGGAGCAGACGGAGCTGCATGGGAAGCTGGGCACTGAGCTGACCTGAGTGCAATGAGCCCTCAGGACAACCCAGATCATCAGTCAGGACACAGACAGACTGGTCTCCCAGCAGCCAAGATGCCTGGACTCCATGGAGCCAAGGAACCTAACTCTGACAGGACACCCCTCCTGTCTCTTCCACTGCTCCTCTTAGCTCTGTATTTCAGTAGGTTTGCACGTTCTATGCCCTGTTGGTTCATTGGTGATACTTTCATGACAGGTGTCGGCTTACACCTGTTTCTAACCCCCGAACCCCCATGTCTCACAGATGAGGGGAATTGGGGCCCTGGAAGGTAAATACACACAACAGAAATGGAGAAAATAAAATACCTCAAACCAAGCTTGAAAGCAGGCAGCACAATTATATAAATTCAGAATATAAAGAGTACACAAATGATATAAAACAT